CCTAAATATTTATGATAGGAATGGTAATTTAATTGACAAAAGTCTACTTCTAACCTATGGGTATCCTTGGAGCATTAATTTTCAATGTCACCTAGAGCTGTGCTGGTCTACTTATCTTGTTATGAGCTTTTATATGGTTAAAGCTCCAAAAAGCAGGTAAGCTCTGGAAAGAATATGGTTAATTCATAAATTCTCATTTGAATTTCCCAAGTGCCTCTTCACACCAAACTGTTTGTCCTTTATTCCTCCAGAGCTTGAGAGTGCAACAACCCAATAACTATGGGTGAAATGGAATGTTGTGTCCTCTCACATCAGGGAGCAGAGCTCCTTCAATCAAAGGGGAATATGGCCGGTTCAAACCCTTTGTGGATGGGAAAGAGGCACTGTGTGTAGAAAAGGGGCACAAAACTCTTGCAAGGACTGTCTGACATGCACCATGGCTAGCAGGGGATGAGGTAAGAATCTTGGGAGGTAGGCTGTCCAGGAGGTGGAAGGGGAAGGCAGCATGGAAAGAAAGCATAGTGTGCAGTCTGAGAGTGGCTTTAAAATCAAATGAAATTCCAATAAGTCTTAGCTCAGGAAGTTTGCCTGAGGGACAGAGTCCAGATCAGCTGCAAGTAAAAGGAAAAGAAAAGCAATAGTTTGTCCCATTGTGCTCTTGGGGGAGGTCTGCAAAGAGCACAGGATGGTGGAGAACCAGAAATTGCACATCTCAGTGGTGGGCATATGGATGGCAGATATCCCCTGTCCATCAGGTGGAATGGGATCAAATGTGGCAGGATCCCCATGCTGCCACACTGCCAGAAGGGACTCTTCACAGCAACAGCTTTGCAAACAGTGTGATCCTGCTGAGATACCATGCACACATCACCACATAGCTGTTGGCTGGCTGTACCCTCCATTTGTGGGTGCAGCTCAGGGTGCCTCTAGCTGGCGGCTCACAGGCAGCTGAGGCCATGCTCTTACCATGCTCCATCTGGTGGGGTTGAGCCAGTAGTGAGGCCAGAGCTGTGTGAGCACAGTGCAGCTTTCAAATCCAGCCTCTTAGTATGGCCTGTCAGCTGAGGAACAGGGTTATCTCAGTCTGTTTGTATCTGCTGTGGTGCTGGCTCAGATCCAGTGGGCTCAGAGCATGGTTGTCTGTGGTCCACCAAGCAGCCATCCCCCGAAAAGACCAGCCTTTCCACTGTTACTCAGCCCTTGTCCCCTTGCAGTCTAAAGCATCATAGCTGCTGGAAAGCTGTCCCCACAGCTCTGTCCTCCCTTCAGCCCCATGATTGTTTTTCCTTTCTCTTAGGTACAGAAATTCCCCTTCTGCCACATGTTCCCACTGCTGACCTCATCAGAATTTCACCTACCCCACCGCCCCCCTCCATTTTGCTCCAGGTGCTTTAGTCTTTTCTGCACCTAACCCCACCTCCCCTTCCAAGGGGAGATATTTTCCACCCCACCACCAGCAGCTGCAGCACCCTGCTGCTGGTGAGATGCCAAACCTTCACCTCTAAGCAGCGCACACAACTCTGAGCATGAGACAATTAGGAGAGAAAGAGGGAAGGGGGAAAGTATTGACAGGAGTAAATTGAGAGAAATCATAAAGCTTAAGCAGAAAGAAAGCAGTTTGAAAGGTAAAGTATTTAGAGAAAGCCCTTTCCTGGATGAATCTAATTGTTTTGTTATCTTTACCCACCAAAGCATTTACTTTGGTTTGTCGCCCGATCCACAAACACTTTCGAGGAGATGACATTACCGAAAGGCAGGAACATCTGCATCAGCTCAGCATCCCCAAACTCCTGGGGCAGATGGTAGATAAACAGGTTACAGCCCTCTGGTCCTATCAAGAGAAAAAGAAGACTCATGAATGGAGAGAAATAGGATATGAGAAAGCACATGGTGGAGATTTACTTTGGCATCCCCTCTCTCTGACTGCTGAGGGGTCATCTCTAGGAAGTAGTCTGTAGACCTTGAGAAGAAGGGACAAAGTAGAAGACTAGGAACTCAGAAAGTCATCTAGAGGCTATGCTAACCTCATTAACCTTCCCAGGACAGACACCAGGGTAATATCTAGAGCCAGAGAAATGCAGCAACACATGTAGCCATGGAAAGACAGAATGCAGGAATAAGAAGAAAAAGAATGAAAGAATGTGGTTCATCATTTTCCTTTGCTCTTCATGATCTCATTTATTTGTTGAGTTTTGGGTGACCTGCACTAACCCATGCTTCTCAGTGTCTGCATGCAGAAGTTTTATTATCCTTCTTGTGTCTGTGTGAGGAGTGTGATAACAAATAGAAAGATACACACAAAGCCACAGGCTTTCTTTGTTTTGTAAAATTTTACACTCAACCCCCCAGCACCACTCAGCATGAAGACTCCCCCAAATCTGGACAGTTTGGCCATGTCCCCAATTCTAAAGAGTTCTGCAAAATACAGTACAGATGGATTTTAATCCAAATTACTAGACAAGAGGTATTGCCTTTTTTGCCTCAGCGCTGTAACATATACTCCTACAGACTTCAGAGGCTGTTGGAAAAATATCCAGAAAGGAATCTTCAGTTGGAATATGCAGTTTTGTTACAGTAGAGACCCCCAGAAAATGTTCTGTTGAAATTGTATTTTGGGGCAGAACAGGGATAATCTGCCTTTGGTCAAATAGCCTAGAATGGAACTTTTCAATGTGACTTTTAGTTTTAAGCATACTGTACTTGAGCAGAAGTCAGAAGGGAACAGGTGTGTCCAAGTGGTTTTGTTGAAAAAAACCCCAAAACATTTATACCCCTTGCAGTGTTCACCAGCAGAAAACTGTAGTCTGAGGAGGCAGGGATTGGTTTTTCCATGGTCTTATTTCCAAAAGTACTTCCAGCTGCTGCCCAGCTCTGCACTGACCTTGACAGGTAACTCCAGCTCTGCTTTGCTCAAGGGGGTCAAAATGAAGGGCATACAGAGTGTATTCCTTGCCATAAGCAACAAAGGACAGAGGGAAGGAGGAAACCCTCAGCCCATGTGCCTACAACCCTGTGACCTGACACAGCCAACTTTCCCTCATTTACGTCTAGGACACAGTGTGGGGTTGGAACGGGTTTTTTAATATTCTCGTTTTCTTCATCAGGGCATAATTATGGTGTCATAACACAGCAAATTACAACTTTGCCTTTCCTGTTAGGGAGAGGAGTTCGCCTAGATGCTCCCACCTTTTATTAGCCATTACTCATCCCCCCGGCTGGCAGGAGAAGTACGGCGAAGTCAGGATTCTGACAGATGCCCATTTAAAGCTCATTAAAATTCCTGGGCCTCAGCGTGATTGAAGTCACAGACTCTCCACATTTCCTTTTGGATTAATGGAAAATGAAGCCCTAATGAATATTTGCTAAGCACAATTTTCCCCACTAATTTGCTAAAAGGACTCTCATGAAGGAACAGCTGATCCTTTGCATCTTGTGCATTTCCTAGAGGTCATGAGGATGGTAAGAGGGTTTCTTCCAAATGGGGTGGTGGGGGGGGGATAGTAGTACAGCAGGATAATTAACTAATTAGGCACCCAGTCATCTGCTTAGCTAAATTACTTTTAAAACTCAGTGGCCCACAATCAGGGGCCCCTATTTCATGTCAATTTTTTCTGTCTTCCTCCCAACTTCCATTTACCTCTTCCTTAGCCTCCTCACTGAGCAACTATCCCTTCTCCCGTCCTTGCTGCGGTTAATTTCCACACAATGTGGAGTTATTGGCATGATAAACTAGATGTGAAACAGTCTGAAAGTGTTAAACAAACACCGACCCCCTTAGGTGTCTGTTAGAATTGAGAAAATTCTGCCCAGGAGAAGACCACAGTCCAGAATAGCAGGGAAAAATTCATTCCTTCATCTGAATGTGCCCCAGGGCACTTCTGCTGTGGGATTCGAGATCCACGTTATAATAGAATGGGTAAAATCTTGGCTTTGCTGCAATTAGTGGCAAAATTCCCACTGACATCACCAGAGCCAGCAGTTTGCTCTCTAAAACTGGCAAATTCTTTCAAATATGCCAGCTGCATTTCCTGGGGTCTTGGATGTGTTGTGCATGAGTAGGGATTCTGCCTGCCTGCACTGAGAAACGCCTACTAAGGCATAAGGCAGACCAGGAGGCAAGCAACTTCATCTACACCAGCTTTAGAGGATGGGCTCAAGGAGAAAACAACCCTTAGTTCACCTTCAAATCAGCTTTGCCTCACACTGCTTGGAGACCAAGAGGAATAGACCAGGGAGGATGTGAAAAAGCAGAGACCATCCTCAAAGCCCAGTTCAGCTCTGAAATGTGTCTGGGAAACCCATGCTGTGGCTTCCCATACAAACTCAGACATTCAAGGCCAAACTCAGTCTGTTCCCAGCTACAGAGGGTTTTTGCTAATTTCCAGTGCTGAAAACTCCACCTGCTACTCAGAAACAACCTGGGGTAGTTTTATTTGTTTTGCCACTCTCACATATGAAAATTCTGCCATTAGAATTTAACAAGCAATTTCTTGTTAAATCTATCCATCTGTAACTTATCTGTCAGTTAGACTCCTTAAAAAACTCGAGATCTCTCTGTCTCCTCCTCTCTATTTTGTGGGGTCTTTTTTGCCTGAGTCAGGTTAATCTGGGAGTCTCCATGGAAGACTCTGTGTTTATATGGATGACTCTCTCTTTGTATATATGTGTATATTTTTAAGAAACCAAATACCTGAGTTCTTCAGCTCAGAATGCTATGAAGACCTAAGTTAGTTCTCAGTGCACACATGTGGCGAGTTTTAAAGGACTCAGTCTGGATCACTGGAGCAAGGAGAAGATCAGAACTGGTATGGCAAAACCTTAGTGAAGTCTCCAACTATCTTGTTGGAGAGAAAGGTCTTGTTTTGGGATAAATTAATGGATTATTGGAGATCAGGATACTTGACAGTACAGGGCTGAATACAGTGCTAAAATTATTTACTACACACTTTACTTTGGTTTTCAAAAGGGTTATAAGTCAGATCAAAATCTAACACTCATGACACATTATGAAAAGAGAAGCAAAGTTCATTTCAGCCCTTACATCTACCTTGGCTCTTGGTTTTATGGCTTTAAGTTATAGCTATTTCTGTTCATTAATACACAAGAAGCACAGATAGCCTTGATTCAGACAAAAAGGAAAGAAAAGTTTTAAGGAAGGCACAGTTTATGAGTGATCTATAAATTACAGGCAAACCATGCTGGATAATTTAAAAAGGGCACAGAAGCACATGGTGGAGAACTTTGGGTGGGTCCCTTTTTATTTGGCTTGGTTGGACCTGAGCTGCTAAGCCATTGCTCTGCCCATTGCTCTGCTCCTCACCCTTCAGCTCATTGTTAGTTATTTAGCACAGGGACAGCAGCACACCCAGTCTATCCCTGGGTGTCCACTGTCAACATGAGTAAACTCCATATACTGGTACTTGACATCAGCAATCTATCATTGCATCTCCAACAATGTCAATCAGTGTCACAAGGAAAAGCTATGACCAGACTGCTCTTCCAACAGTAATTACAAATGGGCTGTCCCATAAGAATGTATGAATTTAGCCTACAGCCCTTTGGTCAGCTGCTCAGCAAGTGGAATATACATTTCACCTCTACAGCAAATACTCAGAGGCTATAACTTCATTGCCTCTTCTGCATCTGCTTGCTATTCAGTCCCCAGCATGTCTGAGCACAGGGTAGATGAGAGTCACAAGCCTGCACCACTTTATTTTAATATCTAAGTTTCAGAAACTACGTCAAGATGAGTAATACCATGCAAATTTAAAATTACCCCCAAGTTTTGCCTGGTTGACACGTCCTGAATCAAGACTTCATCTCTAGCTTTGATTGTTTTGGATCTGTTCCACCCTACGCACCCCATCAGCTGCCAGCAGCCTCAGTGCTCATGTGGAAGTAATGACTAATCCCTACAGGAATGATGCAGCTTGTTATCCAACTGGGATCTGGGAGCGGAGAGTTAGCATTGTTATTAACAATGTGATCATAGATGTTATTGTTGTGGTAGGGCTGGTTCATTAAGGAATCAATGTTTGTGCACATCCTTGCAAACCTAAAGTACTCTTCTCAGCACCGAGCATTATTATTATTATTAGTGTTCACTTTTGCTGTGTTTTCCTGTTAAAGGTTAGAGATGCTTAAAGGTCGTGACCCTCTGCTGAAAAGGAGTGTTCTGCCTTAGAGATTCTCCCTTTAGCAAGCAGCAGAGAAAGTCGTGGCAGCTAAACACTGCAGGAAAAAAGAGGACACTGGGAATAGCAACCTGCATTGGACTGGTGGTTCATCTCATACTGGTTTATCCCCAACCATCCTCAGTATCAGCTGCTTACAGGAAGGAGTGAGGAGTTATGAAATAACTTGTCCACTGGGTGACACACACCCTTAACCCACAGATCCACACTGTGCCTTGCAAACCCAGAGGTCTTTGTGCAGTGGGTCTTCAAAGTGTGTGCAACCGCTATCCCTTGCTTCCGATGGTTCCTGGCACAATGCTACACTGAGCAATGATCTGCTCGCCATTTTGTCCTGTGCTTAATCTAGCCCCAGTAAGTAATAAAAAGCAAAGTCCTTCAGCATGGGGGAAACATCTCTGTAATGATACGTTAGGTCTGTGCATCTGTTCTCACAGCAGGTTCGTGTGCTAGAGCTAATCAGGAGCTGGAAGTTGTGTTCCCCAGGAAATTCTGACATCGGGAAAAAATTAATTCCAAATTAGATCGAAATGCCAACATTTCTAATTTTCTTACAAAATGAGATTTCTCCCCCAAAGTAGTTCTAGGCCATCAGAGTGTTTTAGTTTGATAGTGTAATCTTGACTCATTTCATTCTGACTGTTACACTATATTAAAATATTAAATGTCATTAAATATATATAATAACACGTTTAACATAGAATATATCTGAATTAGTGATCTAATAGAGGATAAAAGTTGAAATGTAATTTTTTTAAAATGAGAGTCTCTACACTAAGTTGAAGCACCTGACTTGAATGACTCGGGCAAGAAGTGTCCTCTTGTCAAAAGGGAGTAGTGGACTCCCTGGAGGACAATTGGGACTGCCTGAGTTGGTTGCCTCAGGATCTCACTGCTCCCCACTGACTCTAAAGGGAACATTACATGGTGTGGTTGTCTCCCAAAATATTTGCATACAATAGTGGGAGACTCACCTTTCCTTACTTTTTAGGTCTCCAGTGAAGCCATCAGTCCTGTGGACTAGATAACCTAGGCTTCTCTCATAGTCAATGTAAAGAAATAGGTACTTTTACTGCATGATTCATATCATCCTAATATAGACATTCTGCTCTTAAAGGGATGATTTCTGTTTCCAGAGTATTAAAGGAGGCTGAAAGGGCCAGGTCAGCTCCATTAAATAGCAGCTCCTCGTTCTCTAAATGGCAAGTGACTGAAATCATATTACTGGATTCTAATGAAGGGCCACCAATGCTTTGTTTCCTAATAAATTCTTTATTCCAGTGCAATTGCACTTTTACCTGCATTCTTGTTGCTTGTTTCTAACACAGACCCCCACTGGACATTATCACCTGTGTCATTAGCAGCTCTTCCCATGGCCCATGTACATCAGCATGCTCCCTCCCTGGGAACTGAGGAAGTCTCAGAGTGATTCCCCATGAGGATATTCCTGCATTATGTTTAATGCCAATGATGCTGTGACCCATACGGAAATTGAGAAAAGACTCGTTGGACAAGGGATTCAAAATAGTCAAGTGTTTAATGGGTACTCTTTAGGTGTATGGAGCGGGGAACGAATGTGATGGGGATGGTGTGCTAGGAACAGAAAGGAGGACAGACCATTTACTCACCTTCTCTCTGTTGCTGCGGAATCATGGGAGGTGGCTGTGGGAACGCTTGGCTAATCTGGCCATAAGCAGCAGGATAAGCAGCTATAGGGGAGAGAAAGGGAAAGAAGAAAGAGGGACAGATTCAATGCTGGGAAGCAAGGAGTTTTCACTCCAAAATGTCATACCAAGCTAAAGATGGGCTTTCCCCTTGCATTTCGGCTCTGTGAAAGGCCATCTCATGCAGCCTGAGATGTGGCAGAAGCACCACAGTGCTGTTCTAGGAGGTGCCACATGGTCCTGAGAACCCACTCTCTCTTCAGCTTCCTCAGCAGTAACACTGGGGACAGCCACACAGTGTAAATGAGGGTCTCCACTGAGATCTCTCCCAGCAGACATGCGTAACCATTCCAGATGGTACCACAAACACTTTCATTCATGAGCTCATCGCATTGATGCCCATGCTGACAGCCACGCGTAGAGCACATGCACATGTTTCCCTGTGTAATTTCTCTTGCACCCTGATTAATGCTCATAAAAACAGTTCATGTGTGTTTTCTCCCTTACTCTGAGCTTCGTATGCCCACACTGTATAGGTGCAGTTGCACACACACGCTCAGATATACATTTTTCTTTCATGTCCATAGAGACTTCCTCTGTCTTACACAAACACAGTGGAAACAGTGTGCAGCAATTAAACAATTTTCCCCACCTCAGCTCCCCCACCAAGCAGACAAGGGGAGCCATTCACTACCACAGATGGTAGATGATGTGCCTTGCTGCTAAAAATACAGAGTACGGGTCGCCTGTGAGCCCAGAGAGAGGGGGATAGGGGCCATGTGTGTGCAGAGGGGTTAATTAACAGCTCAAAGGGTTGAGCTGCTTCCCATCTATCAAACCTCACAAGCAATAAATGACAATAACTAAAACACTGGCAAATGAAGCCCTACATGGAGAATTAAATTAAGTTTCCAGATACAGCTCTGACATGAGATAATAACCATTCCTCAGCGGGAGCCCATGATTGCTCCAGTTACCACAGGAAATAATGACTTTGGGGTGGCAGCTTTGTCGCAATGTTGGCCATGGACACCTCGTGAGGGGAGGCTGAACACGGCAGGGTCATGGTCTGCACCAGGTCACTTTGGCTGCTGTCAGTCCATCAACTGCAAAGGAGCTGCTCAGCACACAGGGTGACGTGAGCAGGGGCTGACTCTTTGAGAGCCATGGAGAAAGCTGCTGGGAAGCCAGGAGTATGTCTGCGTAGCTCCTAAGCAAATCCCAAATTAACTAGCTGGGGTATGACCAGTGTAGACACACCCTAAAATAGGGGTATATGCAGACGTACCATACCCTGCCAGGCACAGCTGCAGCGGCTCTGCAGGGTCTGGTTGCCCATTTCCCCTCCTCACTGCAGCCCTCAGGTGACTTGTTATAGAAAGGAGCTTCCAAAGCACTGGCCTGATTTTGTACTAGTGCACTATGTTAAGCAGACTGGACCTGGTCCTGCCAATAAAGCTGTGCCCAGGTACAGATCAGTGGGAAACTTTCTTTGAGGAAGGGAGGAAGTTGCCTCCTTAGGGAGAGAAGACCCTGGGCTTTATGTTTGTTTTCACAAGAAGTGCAAATTTAATCTGAGAGTTTGTGTCCCCAAGCTCACTCTTGTATCAGCAAACACACCCCTTCCACCAGCCCCCTCAGGTGTGTTCAGAGATTAAAGGCTTTAGAGAAGAGAAAGGTTTATTGGGAGAAAGTGTTAATACTAACGACCTGCGTACTGCTGCACTCCAGCGTAGGCTTGCTGCAAGGGGTCTGCTGCAGTGGGGCTCTGTGCTGTGGAGACACAAGAGAGAGAAGGAATTAATGGTTTAAGCACAACAGGCACTCTTCTTTCCTGTTCCTTCATCAGTACCTGGTGTGAGACAGACAAATCCGGGGGATGAAGGTTCTGAAAAAGGAGCAGTTGGCTCATGCTATGGACAGAACCACACAGAGCCTTTCATGATGGCCAGGAGGTCTTTGTTCCCCAGTCATCACCCTGTCAGACTTTGGAGCAGAGGGCAAACAAACCTCTCCCCTCCTTTCTCAATTTTGAACAATGGGGCCTGCCTCTGATCATGTAGATTTTTGGCATTGTAGTCATCATCCCCAAAGAGCCCTCATCTTAAGCCAGGACCAGCACTGTGCTATATGCTGTGCAAACTCAGATCTCAGTGACAGCTACAGTTGCATGAAACTTTCAATCAGAGCAGAAAACAACAGGGGCTTAGCATGAGGAAGGAGAAGAGAACAAAGCAGTTGCTCCTGCCACCCTGACATCCCTTTGAAGGACTGCCTTGCTGCCAGGCAGCCCCCTGTTCGAGAGGAGATGCTGCTCGGAGGGGAGGGGGACACCACTTGTCTCCTCCAGGGAGGATGCTGTGAATCTCTGTGTAAGGCATGCAGTCCCTTGCTGGCTTCAAAGTGCATTTTCTCTCTTTACAAGTGTGCATTCCTCCTCCCTAAAACTGTTTATTTTTGTGAAACTTTGAAGTCTAGCTCAAATACAACCAAAGCTAGTTAAGATTTTCTTTTTTTTTCTCCCCTTTGGTTGATAGGGAGAGAAAAAAAAAAGAGAGAGAGAGAAACGTGTTGGATAAGCTCTTTCTTTATCTGCAGCAATAAAATATTTAAAGCGAAGCTTGGCTGAACCTCCAGTCCAAATGTCACCTTGGCCCTAATATTTCACTTCATGTTATGAGTTTAATTTGTATTTATTGGTGCTGCACAGTTGTACATTTATGCAGTCCCTCTGGTTTTGTACTTGTAGGATGATCCCTTAGGGAGCTGTCACTTCAACATCCCGCCCATCCCATCTTCTTCCTTCTTACAAGCACAGAGGTGTCTCTGGAGGCAGGAGTCTGGAGGTTGCAAAGGTGTGGGTCTCTTAGAAGGAAATCCAGTGCCATTGACCTACCCAAGGAGAAACACTGACTGCATGTGAAAGTGTGGGAGAGGTTGGCAAACATGAGTGTTATGGACAAACATGGACAAAGTCTTTTCTTATAGATACAAATACCAGCTTGAACCTTAACTTCAAAGATCACCATTGATCACGATGGAAGCTTGCAAGGTCTTGCACTTATTTCCCAAAATACAAGGAGGATTTATTGATGAGAAGACCAGACTCTGAGGGGACAAACCCAGTTAGCTGGCTAAGGCTTGGAGGTTCCTGTTCATTATAGGCATTATTGTATCACAAGGACTTTGAGCATGGGGAAGTCACAGGAAGGAATAAGTGGATCTGCAGTCTTAAGTTGGAAGCTGTTTGGTTGATTTCAAGGATGACTTTTGGAAGGTCTCTTAATATGTCTGTATGTGGAATGGGAAAGCACTAGCCTACTCTAAGATTTTCACCCCTTGAAAAGAGTTGTGAGGAGAATACATTAAAACCTGTGGGAGATTTGTGGAAGGCATAAGAGAGATGCAAAGCTAAATTGTTAAAGAGTAGATGCTCCAGGAAACTGGAGGAAATGCTTGGAAAATATAAAAACTGTTTGCAGTTCTTCCTGCATTCTTGAACAAGGAAGCAACTAAAGTCTGTTCTTTTTAACCTCTGCTCAAAACTGTTTTCCTCTAAAAACAGAATGTTGAGCTTATTGCTCCTAAAGAAAACTAAACAGCCATGAAAGGCTGAGTGATACACCAATTCCCACACCCTTTTGGGAACATGGATCATAATTACTTGAACCCCCCAAAATGACCAAGTCCTGTCATGTAGAAGATATCTCCTGGGGAATGTGAGGGGACAAGTAGTAAAGGGAGCAAATCCTTGTAAGACAACTATGGTTTTGCACTCTGCAGTAAAGGAGAAGATCTGCCATATCTGCCCCAAAGGCAACTGCCCTTCCTTGGTTGCACTTGTCTATTTATAGAGCTAGAAGAAATTGCCTCCACTGTTCAGGAGATACCCTCACAGCATTTCCTTCCTCTCCAGCTGAGGCTGGACTCAGGCATACTTGTTCTCTCTCTGGCATGCTGATGATTAGCAATGACTACCTCTTCATTAGCATGGGAGAAGTCATTGAGTAGTACCTGTCTGGCTGTGGTCCTTTCCTTTATTCCTTCCCTTAGCTGAACATGCATGAGAACTGCCCACTCCCTGATATAGCTGAGTCTATGTCCTGAACGAGACCACCCTGCTCACTGCTGAGCTGCTCTCCTCACCCCATTTGTGGGTATCTAACCTGCCTTTGGAGCCATACTCTGCCCATCATAACCAAGCCATTCAGCTTAGGAAATATACATTGGAAAACACGGTTCACCTTTAAGATTAAATATTAAAACTGGGTAAATGGTTTATTTAAAGGGTTTGGAACAACAGGCCTTTAAATGCAGCTTTTTTTCCCTCCCACACAAAGCTTTTAGAGCTCATTATTTTCCTGAGTCTTTACAACTTGTCAGCAAGGGTAGTATCTACCCAGGTGTTTTTTTCTCAGGAGACTGCCTTGTGTCCCAGATCACGCAGGTAATTTCCTCCTGACTCACAGCACAGGGAAAATAGTTGTGAGTCTGTCCCCTGATTTCAGTCAGCTTTGCTCCAAGCTGGGAATCACTTACTCATAGGTAAATAAGATGCAAGGTGGCTGGTCTAACACACAGGACTGTCACACTGACCTAACCATCCCTGGATGCTCTTGAAAAAGAGTGAGTTAAAAGCATCCTTGGGCTGTAGGACTAGACAGTATGGGGAGGCAGCAACCCTTGGCTTGGGTGTCTTTGCTTTACTCATGGTTTCATACCCTACCTTGGCTGTTTGGGAAGAGCAGTGGTGGTGAGTCACCACCTGCAGGAATTTAACTTGGCAGCTCTTAAAAACAAAAGTGATGACTTTATATCACTGAAGAACTCATCTTCCTTAACTCGAAGAGTATGTTTACTCAGCAAATGAAAATGTGACCAGTGGATGTGTCCATGCTGGCCAGCACAGTCTATGAAGACACAGGGACACACACCCCAGGGCTGGCTGGGTACCCTGGCATGAAGTCAAGGTTGCTTGGGCAGTCCTGAGCAGATCTTCACGCTGCTGCTTACTCTGCCAGATGAATTAAACCTAGTGAAGGGCATAACTGCCTGTGCTTCCAGCTGTAGTGCAGATGAAACCAACAGTTGGTATTGATCCAGAAATCTCAAGACACACATTAGACATCTGAGAAAGTTGAGGCCATTCTGTGTTCAGTAAAGTGACAATCCTCCTACATTCTAATGACCCATAAGAAATTCAGTAAGGGCTTAAATGTATGAGGGACCCACAATCCAGAACCAACCTGCCCCAGGGGTTACATGCCTTTGTAGGCTGGAGCACACCACATGCTAAAATTCAAACTGATGGGAAGATACAAATTATTTCTATGTCTCAGCACAAGGAGACCAGGAGGAAAGGTTGCTTTATTCCTCCATAAGATAGAGTGAGCACCCCTGTGACGTTCACACAAACTATGTTGCACTAGGGTAGGAGAGTAACCCTGTCTCAGCCACTGTTTCTCCCCATTCAGCTGTCCAGTCTTCTCTGTTACTGCAGATATTAGCTGAACACGAGCATGCGGGGCTGGGAACAGACTTTAGCTCCTCTGCATGCTGTCTGTACCAGGCAGTAAGCCCCCTGTGACCCAGCGGCTAAATAGCTGAGTAAGGGCTGGTAAGAGCTACAGGGATATAGGAGGCACTAGATCAGGGACATGGATATGATAAAGCACCTTAAAGGTGTTTTTGGACCAGAACTAGTATGTCTCTAAGTTGTAACATCATCAAAAGACCTTGAACGTGCTGGTGACTATCTGTGCAAATGTGCCCATAGATAACACTTGAAATAGCTTTCCTTGTGGTCAGATTCATGGAGTTCTTACATCCAGCATACAGACATTTGAGAAATGAAATGTGATGTAATGTACACACTGAGGATCAGCTGGTGAAGTGAAAGAAGCACAGACGCTCCTGAGAGGCTAGAGGACAACTATCAATCACGTCAGCCCCACTGAAGTCCATGTAGCCTAGCTGCTTTATAAAGGGTGAGGATCTGGCCTTGCCAGGGCAGACTAAAGGTCCACTGTGAAAACAGATGCTAATAGTAACTTTATTTGGCAGCTCAGGGCAAGAGCCTTATTCCTGGACATTGCCTCTATATTAATTCAATCATTTCCATATCTCCACGGGAAAAATCCTGCTCAGATACAATTGTCTCCTTGTGAGACGATCTGGGCCAAGATGGCACAAGGTGACCATGGCAGATAACCTTCCATAAACCTGGAGACATAAAACAAGCCAATGACCTACTATATGGCCATAAATATAAATTTAACGAAGGCAGCACTTATTCATTAGGCAGAAGTCAAGAAATGACTCCCAAGTCCTTCAAAGAAAGTAGATCCGTTAATGTCACTTTCTGAATCTTTTGCCTGATGCCAAAAACCAAGGCTGATTTCCCAAGTCAGCATGAAATACCAGTGCTTTAAAATTAACACCAGGAAGCTTTCTTACTACTGATATATCTCTAGATTGAAATCTAACTTTTTAAAGTGGCATTCAGCTAGTATTAGGCACGACATTTAGCTTTTGTCAGAGAATGAAAAGATGGAGGTAGCAGAATGAAGTACGCTGTTAAAAATAAATAAAATCCATTTTAGTAGTGTTCTATAAAGAAACCCTCCTGAGATACCAGTAACCTGGCTAGTGTCTGGACAAGACGAGCTGTTATATGGGCACCCTAGGTGAAAATCTTTGTAGGGGACAGAGAACTGGACTCTGCTGTGATGGTCAGGGGTGTAAATCACGAGAAGCTGCACTGAAGCCAGTGG